ATCAATCTTAACTGTTTCTTCTAAAAAATCAACTAAGATTTCAAAACCAAATGTACAGGCTTGGAAATTACTCCATGCTTATTGCTTTTCATTAACCCGAAGACCTGACTAAATGTCAGCCCTCCCACCTACCCCTCTCCCAAACTGGAGATGCTGGATATCGGGTTCCTTTTATTCTGTAAGCAGGGGTGCTCCTCATGCTTTTTTAATGACCGGAGTCTGGGATTGTTCTGCCCCGGAATTCATGCAAGAGAGGAGCTGTGTCTGAGCCTCCACGGCTTGCTCAGTGGACTAGAAAAGTATGAGACTGTCATTGGAAAGAGCATGACCTTTTTTATGTAGCCTAAGGTTCAGTGCTTCTCAATGCTTTAATGACTCAGGGGGCGCCTATGAACTGTCTGTACGGAAGGCGACCTTTCAAACTAATCCCCCCATGGGGGCACTACCTGGCTCACACGGCGGGCTCTGTGTAGCCTCACAGTGGCTGGTAAACAGTTTTAAGCTGTTGCATTACCTTTCTGCTCTGACTGAAGGGTAGGTGCTAGCTGCACTACTTTTTCTTCTTCTTTTAACATATGAGGGCACAAGTATGGAATGCAGGGCAGGCCGCCGTGAGCCTCGAATGCGCTCCGTGACGGGAGCAGTCTTCTGGGAGCGGGGAGAAAGCCGGCACACAGGAGAACTGAGCGTTTCCAGGCATCTCAAAAGTTCCATGCAGAGGATGAGCTCATTTTTCTGAGGTGACATATCATCACACATCCGATTGAACCTTCTGATTTTCCTGCTATTTCTAGATGAGGAACAAGGTCTACCTCCTAGAATAATAGCTACCATCTACCAACTGTGTACTATGGGCCGGGGGGCATTCTAAGTGTTTTACACACATCAACCTGTTTAGGCCCCGCAGCCCTGCTGTTTATTATCCCTATTTAACAGATAAGGAAACAGAAGCAGAGAGGTTAAGGGATTTGCAGACTGCACTGGTAGTCCTATGAATTGGTGAAGACAGGATCCAACTACCAGCAGTCTGAAGCCAGAAACCACAGTAGTTACCCTCCTCTGGAGCCATCCAAGTCTGATAGACCTAGGGCCCATCATGGCGAGACCCATGAATGGGCTGACCCTCTAGATACAACGTGAGAGGATACACAAAGTATCTCAGCTAAAGAGGACAGTGGTTGAATGGCTCTAGGAATTAACTAGTAAGCCTTGGCTGCTGCTAACTTTATTCCTGATCTATGGCTGTCCCCTGGTGGTTTTCCTGGGAAACTCACAAGCCAAGGAACTCCAAGGCTCTAGTGGAGTTAGTGGGATGAAATGAACTGGACCAAATGACTTACTTGCTGCATAAGCACCCCAATCTAAAAGGGATGGCCTTTCAAAGTCCACATTCCCCAACTCACTCATGAATAGGGCCGTAATACTTGTGACTGCTAAAAGCTGATTGACAGTACACTGATAAAAACAAGCAGCAAAATACATGCCCCATGATTGTATTTGCACTTCAAAAGCAGTAAACTCCAAGATTTAATTAACTTGGCTAGCCATTATTTGCCATAACTTCACATTTCATTTTTAAGCTTCTGGGCTTTCCTCATGGTTAAGGCTCCCAAAAGACTACTATGCTTCATGCCAACTTGCAACCTCTTACTCTCTGCGCCTCCCCATCCCCTGCCCCCAATTTAGTTCCCTTGACCTTTCAGATGTTATCATTCAACTAGGTGGTATTTGCTTTCACTGCTTCTCTCAAGCACACCTGCTGGTGGTAAGAGTGTGCAAAATAGAGCAAAACGATA